GTGTGTGTGTGTGTGTGTGTGTGTGTGTGTGTGTGTGTGTGAAATTTAGAAACATGTATTTACAAATTTGTACTTGGTTCTCTCAAAGATGATTTTCTGTTATTTTAAAAAGTATGTTTCAGTGATCCTTGCATTTTTACTTCTTCATTCTTTTATCTTGATTTAATATACTCATATTTAAATAAGAGCAGAATATATATGTATTTAGATATGAACGTAGGTTTCTGTTCAGTTTTACATGCTGAAATTTAATATTCCAACTCCTACTACCTTTTAAAATGATAGTTAAATATTAGTAACATTTTATTTATTTATTTATTTTAAAGATTTATTTCAGAGAGAGTGTGTGTGTGTGTGTAGTGGGCAGTGCTGTGGAGGGACAGAGGGAGAGGGGAAGTAGACTCCCCGCTGAGTGCAGAACCGGAAGCAGGACTTGATCTCCTGGCCTGGAGATCATAACGTGAGCTGAAACCAAGAGGCTGATGCTTAACCAAGTCACCCAGGTGCCCCAATATTAATAACATTAAAAAAAATAAAAATAAGTAAATTAGGGGCTTAACTATCATGTTTATTGAATCTTGCTTTGTTTTAAAAATTTATTGCAGTATATGAATATGACTTCAGAAAAATACTTGGCTTACCAAAAAAACTTTATAGAAATAAATCTCTTGTAGATCATACTTAACTACCTCATTGCCCATATACAATCAGTAAAGTTTGTCAAGTTCGTCTCCAGAATTTCTCTCAAATCCATTCACATCTCTCCATCTCTATGGGCACCACCCTAGTTCAAAAAAAGCATTTTTTTCTCCTGGTTGATTGCAATTGCCTCCTTCAATATTCACTTTTTCAAAAAAAAAGTGAAAAATGCAAATAGCAAGTAACTTTTTCTTGATTATTCATAACCTCAATTGTGAATAATTCACTATAATATCTATAAATATCAAGTTGAAGTAAAATTGCTACTTTTCCTGAGTGTATACATATTTACTATTTTTTTGTTCCTATACCAACAGATTCCTCTTGTCCAACTGACCTCGTTTTCAAGTACAATATAAAAGCCTGCAATAAAACTTGTCGATTATTGTCAGAGAGATATAGGAGCTGTGATATAGAAGATGTTCCATTTGATGGATGCACTTGCCCTGATGGAATGTACCAGAATAATGAAGGGAATTGTGTTCTAAAATCTCAGTGTGACTGCTACATAAATGGCAAGGTCATGCAACCAGGCAAACTCATCAATATTAATAACAACAAATGGTATGGAAATTACATATATACTTGTATGACTTCAAAATCACAGAAATAGACTTTTCCTAAAGTCTTTGTTAGACCTGTCACATTTCAAATTTTGTATTTCTTATTGAACTTAGTTATTGCTCCCTTTAACCTGAAGTGCTCACTGCATCATAATGGCTTTAACTGATGTATCCTACTCTTGTTTGGTTTTAAATACCAATAGAAAAATATTCTAGCAGTATGCATTCTCCATACAGAGGATGGAAAATGATTTTATATTCAGACCATGCTTTCTAGTTGTATCTCAGCATTCATCATTCAACAAGCACTTATTAAATAGATATTTGCCATGTGCCAGGCCTTGTGTTGAGGGCTGGAGTTACAAAGATGAATGAACATTGTCTTGGACTCATAGAACAAGGGTGCTGACTATTGCAAGGAGGTTTGTATACTATAATATGGTAGCAGAAAGGGCCAGTCACTACCTGAGGAGATAACGAGAACTTCTCAGAGGAGACCCGTGTTTGAATTTTCCTAAGAGATGAAACTTTTTCCAGACAAAATTGAGGTGGGAAGACAAATTTCTAGTAGACTAAACAGAATGCCATAATGTAGGAAATGCTTGAAAAGTATTGCACATGTAGGTTCTCGTTGGATAGGATCAGGTTGGAAAAGTAGACAGTGGCCAGGCTGCACTGAAGAATTTGAACTTAATTCCTGGGCAGTAGGAGAAGTTGAAGAATTGACTTTTTGTAATGGCTAAGGAGGTTGTGATTTTTGCAGTTTCAGGCAAAGTAATTTATCCATATTTTTAATTCCATAGACATAGAAATTCTTAACAACATGAATGCAAAAATGAAGTAGCCATTCCAAAAAATTTTGGATGCTCCTTCTCTCTTTTCTTTAGTTCCATATGAAGCTATCATTTAGTAATGAGTTATTTTTCTTGGCCATTTAAAAGGAAAGCATAGGTAACAACCCCTTTCTATCATGGCACACAAAACATTTGGTTGGGGTTTGATAATGATACTTTCTCTGTAAATGTTAAGGAATCAGTAGGTTACCTTTTTAATGAAACTTAGGCTATCACCTCCAAATTCTGGTTCCCTCTATCATTACCTTATTTCAGACCCCCATGAGCTCTTACTGGCATTACTGTTGTTAAACTTGGCTGTTCTTTGCCCTGTCTCTCTTTCTCTCTGTCTCATATTTCTTGCACTACCTCTAAAATGACTAACCTAAAGTATTATTCTGATTGTGCCACTTAGCTGCTCAGGAACTTTAATGGTGACGGTTCCCTGAAGAATAGAAACAAACTTACATATCATTTAAGACCATCTGAAATCTGGCCCTGACTTTCTTTTACCACTTGTCTCTATCATGCTTCTTGCCTTCTATCCAAACAAGTCATTGGCACATACCTTGTTCTTTCCCACATCACAGCTTTGCATCTTATCAGCAGAGTCTTTTGAGTCTTACTCATCCATCAGGATCCAGCCATCATTTTCGTGTTGTCTCTGATATCCGTAGAACCTTGCTTGTACATTCCTATAAATATGTACGAGGCTGTATCTTATAATTGGATATATGTTATATAGTTTCTGGGGCACTGTGTCTCAATCATCTACTCATGATAAAACTTGTGAATGAGGGGTTAAAGTTGCTCTAATAGTGTATTAAGAACTCATCATTGAAGTTTGAAGTTTAAATCTATAATTTTCTTCTATTTCCAGTGTCTGTCGGGATGGAAATTTTCTTTGCCAGACTCCCATTAGTTCAACCCAACGTAAGTGTTGAAATCATGATGCAAGCTTAATAGATCTACTTGGGTTAAAATAAGCAGATCAAGAGGCCCTTGATTAACAATTTCCTTTATCCTGCAGAGAATTGTTCTGGAGGGGCCGAATATGTTGACTGCAGGGGCCCGAGGGCACGGAGAAGAGTTGACGGTAAATGTGGTGCTTGGAACATGGCCGGTTTTGATGTAAGTAACATGGCAATGCAGTTTAGCCTTTTCAAACTTTTAATTGTGTCAGGATAGAAGCAAACTAAAACATCAATGAAAACTAATGAGAAGGTCATATTTATTGTGTTATTTTGATTTGTCAAATATTGGCTCTAAATGTATAGTTGGTATATATTTATGTATTATAAATTAGTGCAGTACCTTATGGTGTGTATTTTATATTTATTCCCATAGGAGAACTTGCCTTGCAAAGCTGGGTGCTACTGTCCAGTAGGCATGGTTCGAAATTCTAAAGGGAACTGTGTGTTTCCCGAAGACTGCCCATGTTCTTTTGGTGGATGGGAGTATGAGCAAGGAAGTGTTACCCCGGTTGGCTGCAACAACTGGTGCATAATAAAGAATTACTATTGTATATGTTTTGGATATTGGAAAGTACAGTCTGCTCTTATTTTTATAGGAAAGAAGTCATACTTTGGGATATGTGGAAAACAATAATCAAGTAGAGTTTAAAATGCTCTTTTTTAAATAGAAACTTTAATTTTTTAAAATTTTTTATTCAAGTATAGTTGACACTATTATATTAGTTTTAGGTGTACAACATAGTGATTCAATTGTATACATTATAAAATGCTCACCACAGTGGTGTAGTTACCATCTGCCACCACACAAAATTATTACAGTATTATTGACTTTACTCCCTATGCTGTACTTTTTGAAATAGAAACTTTATTTGGCATTTTATATGGTGAACGTCATATAGTATAATGAAGATAACTACAAAATTTAAATCAATATAGAACAAGGTTTTGTGCTTCTTTCTAAAAATAGTATGAGTATGTGAATCTTGGCATGATATATATATTTTTTTTATTTTAGTACTTGCGTCAAAGGATCTTGGAGCTGTACACAAAATAAATGTCAAACTGTCTGCCACATCTATGGGGAAGGTCATGTTAGAACTTTTGATGGAAAAAGTTACAGCTTTGATGGTCTCTGCCAATATTCATTTGTTGAGGTAATGACTAGTGTGTTTTTTCACAATTTTTTATACTTAATAATAACTATTTGTGGATGAGCTCTGGAGAATTTTATTCTGAAAATGTGAAATTTAAACAAATGGTCCCTTAAAGGTTTCTTAAAGGCAGTAAAATATAACATAATATGATGCTGATTTGGGAGGCAGTAGGCCTAGATTTCAGTCGTGTCTCTCCCATTTCTCTGATGTGACTTTGGGCACATTCCTTAATCCTTCTGTGTCTCAGTTTCCTTATCTGTAAAATGGGGACGGAAATAGCCCCCACTGGAAACCAAATTAGGGCAAATATTGAAGCACATACTAAGTGCTCAATAAATGTTAGATATCATTATTTTAGCAACAGCACTGTCAGCAACAATGGCAGTTACCATTTTATGAGCACTTCTTTGCGAAGAAAATTTATTACATTTAATCATTACAATGCTCAAAGGCTGATAGTATTATCCCTATGATGCAGATGAAGAAATTGAGGTTTAGAGACGTTAAGCACACAAACTGCTAAGTAGGAAATGCCATATTCAAACCCAGATCTGTGTTATTCCAGAGTTCATGCTCGTTACATGCTGCTAAGCTGCTTCCTAAGTCACATCTAATTTTTTAAATTTGGATTATTTTGTATTTATGCATTAGTTTTGGTTGAATGTTGAGTTTCATAAAAATGACTGAGGGGGAGAAAAACACCTTTATCTAGCTACTTACAGAGCCTAGAAATAAATCAATGATTATAAAATATATAATTTAAATACTTATATACCTATGGTATAATTCTGAACTTGATTAGAAGTAACAGGAAAAGGACCAAGTGAAAGCAAGTTAGCTAGATTGGACTCAGTCAGGACTACCTATCCTTATATGCAGTTAAACTCTCGTCTTTTGGAAATTCCATAACACAGCTTATGGTAATTTATTGAGTTTAAGTTATCACGGTCTAAGAATTACTTGTTTGATGCAAATATTGTGATTGAGTTCCATATCCCTGATATTTATAAACTATTATTATAATTTACTTCTTAAAGGATTATTGTGGTCGTGAAAGTGGCACATTCCGTATTTTAACTGAAAGTGTCCCATGCTGTGAAGATGGGCTTACATGCTCAAGAAAAATCATAATTGCTTTTCAGGTACAGTACTATTCCTCTTTATGTATTTTTTTCTCTCAGATTATGAGTGGCCAGATAAAACTAATGTTACCATAAGTCTGTCTTTTAATTAACAGGATCAGAATGTTGTGTTGCATGATGGTAAAGTAACAGCCTCCAAAATTACAGAAAGTAAAGACTGTGGACTCAGTGAAAATACATACTCTGTACATACCGTTGGCCTGTACTTGATTCTGAAATTTCTAAATGGGATAACCATAATTTGGGACAAGAATACGAGAGTTTCAGCTATATTGGATCCTCGCTGGAATGTATGTGTATCATTAATAAATGATTAATGGGGAAGCAAAATAATTTCTGTTTCTGAGAATTAGAGACAATTCATCAGTGGAAAGTGAGAGAGTGGTAGTTTCTGTCCTAGAGCAAGCCCTCCACATGTACTCAATCTTATCATGAAACATGAAGTGTAATCAAAGATGATAGAATCTGGTGAAAAATAAATGCAATAAACCTGAAGCATTCTAGTTTAACTATGCTGGTATTATTTTATAATACAATTTTAAGGTAGCTGGTGAATGTATAAAATGAAATGTATTTCTTGGCGCAAATATTTTAAGAACCTAAGAGTATACTTCCTGTATGATTTAAAGCTAATGAATATAATTAGTTTTTAACAATTCTTAACACATTTATCTAGTTGATACTAGATCATTTTGTGATATAGGATGTCTTGGGTTAAACAGGTGCAGAATCTTATCCACAGATTCTAGTTTCCTTCCAAAATTTGGAATTTAAAATAGATTTATGATAGGGTCACCTGGCTGGCTCAGTCAGCAGAGCATATGACTCTTAATCTCAGGGTTGAAAGTTGAAACCCCATGTAGGGTGTGGACCCTACTAAAAAATAAAATAAAATAGATTCATGATACTATATATAATCATAATTTCCTTACCTATCTGTTTCTATATATGACTGTGGTACAACTCACTTTTTAATTTTCCTTTCTGATTTCATTTCTTGATATATCTATTTCCCTGGTACAACCTACTTGTTAATTTCCCTTTCTGATCTCTATAGGGCAAAGTGTGTGGTCTTTGTGGAAATAACAATGGTGATCTCAAGGATGATTTCATAACAAGACATTCATCAGAAGCTGTTGGAGCACTGGAATTTGGAAATAGTTGGAAAACGAGTCAAAAATGTGCAGACACAGTAGCACAAAATTTCCCATGTGACTCAAACCCATACTGTAAAGCATGGGCTGTGCAAAAATGTGGGATCATCCAGGACAGCATCTTCAAAGAATGCCACCACAAGGTAGTATGGCTCTGAGAGCAGGGACCGCACAGGTTTTGCTCCCGGAGACTCATGTGCTGTGCTTTGTGTAGGTGGACCCCGAAGCTTATATAGAAGCATGCATTGAAGAAGCTTGCTCATGTGACATGGAGGGGAAGTATTTGGGATTCTGCACGGCTGTGGCCATGTACGCGGAGGCATGCAGTGCAGTTGGAGTCTGTGTCACATGGAGAAAACCAGATCTCTGTCGTAAGTCAAGTCCATGTGTTGTTATTTAAAAATGTAATTAAGTAGAATTGTTTTGTTAGATAATCAATCTTCCTCTCAGATTTCCTATAAAATATATATTCTTTTGCCTAAAAAGTTTTAAAAATGTGTTAATATGTTTATGATGGGAAAACTACCTGTTTTAAAACAGAGCACCCGGCACAGCACATCAAATTCAATTTTAGTTACAAAACTTCTTATGTTAACAGGGGAAAAATTAAATGCTGATGGAAGATATCTCTTACTCATACTTAGATGAACAATGAACTGTTGACTCATCTTGGTATAGTCATATTTCTATAAGCATTTACCTCATCTACTACTTTGGGTTGAAGTCCTCAGACATTATTTTAGAAACTTTATAGAGTGCTAGTCAAGACAAACTGTAAAATGAATATAAACTGAATTTTGATCTATATGAAATATGATAAATTTAGTAGAAATCAGTCAACTCTCTCCCTTATAATGGAAAGTATTATGAGAGAAAGTATGATGAATGAGAAATATTGATATTGAATCCATGTTTTATTCCATTTATCATGCAAAGTGTGATATTGAAATCTTTAGTTCCTCATTCAGGAATGGTTATTTACATATTAAAGAAGCCTGATTTCCCCAGAGATTCATTTTTGTAATTTAAGCTTGAACATTAGAACTATGAATCTGGACTATGACCTAAAATATCTCAAAATGGAAAACTCAACGTTTACTTTTCTACCTCAAACCAAGCTTACTGTGAGATGTCAAAGGAAAGTGCTGTTTTGATCCTATATGCTTCCCCTCCCTTTTTCGTGAGCTACTGTGGCTTCTGTGGCAATTTAGATAAAGCCAAAGGGACTTGATAAAACAGAATGATATACTCTAGGTCTGTTTATTGTTAATATCATTCAAAATTCCTTTTAAAAATGCTTTGGAAAATGAAAGGTGAAAATCATCATATAATGAGAATGGCAGTAATTTGAAATGATTCAATTATTAGCTGTCTTCTGTGATTATTATAATGGACCCGGGGAATGCAGTTGGCACTATGAACCTTGTGGTACAGTGACTACAAAAACATGCAGAGATCGAGTTATTGGCCAGAAATTTTCTGCAGTTTTAGAAGGTAAGGCATATTTTAGTAACATCCTCAAAGTAGTACAAATTATATTGATACTTTAAAACTGACAAATGTTGTTTGTTTCTGCCAATTCAGAGTCTTACATTTTGTAATTTAAGGAATAGGTATTTATAGTTATTATGACATTAATATTTCTACATGAGAAACATTTTCTGCAGACATAAATTATATATTTAATAAGACAGATGGTGGGGGGAGAACACAGTGCTATGATCACATTGTCAGTTTTTATACCTTTCATTAGACAATATAATTTGTTGAGAATGTAGTTTCAGAATGCAATGTATAATATAGTCCAGCTAATGATATCCCACACTTAAATAGCACTTTCTTCTTAGCATTTCATATCTTAGAAAGGAAGAAGTGACAAGAAAACAAGATGATGTATAAACACTTTGTCCCAAAGTTACCTCTGTGTTAGGTCCCAGGCTTTGGGGCCTTTTCAACTCATTTTATTATGGCATTTGGATCTTCATCTATCCTTATAAAAATAGATATTTAGAACTGGCATTCACATTTCAAGATATGTGTTTATCAAAATCTTGTACTATGTTCAACATCATGCCATCATTAAAGTAGCAAATTATTTTAAGATACTTTAGGAAACATTTTAGAAAAAGTAAATCAGCCAAAATTTGTAAGTTCTTAATTCCTAGGTTGATATTCCATTGCAAGAGAATCTGAATCCTGTTCAATTTATATATTTTCACTAAGAATGTGATGTTGTTTTGCTATTATCTACTTCAGTTCATGTAATCATTTATGTAACTTTACAAATATAGAGTGCAATATGACATGTTTCGGGAAATAGAAATGAACCCTGGGTCATTTTTCATACAGGTTGTTATGCTAAGTGCCCGGATAGTGCTCCTTATCTGGATGAGAACCTCATGAAATGCGTCCGTTTATCTGAGTGCAGCTGTTTCTATAATGATATCATACCAGCAGGTGGAGTGATTCAGGATAACTGTGGAAGAACATGGTACATTCTCTATTAACTTTCCAATGAGTAATTCTGTTTCTTACATTTTCATTTAGAAGAAAAAAATTAAAAATACACATGAATATATTTGAGCTCTCTTATTTCTAAATGAGAAGGCCCGTATTAGGTTGAATTTTCTGTCAGTTATGCTAGTTATTTTGTATTTTCAGTAAATCCACATATCAACAGATGGTCTGTTAAATCTTATAATACAGAAGACAGGACAGAAAATGTCACTTGTAGTTTTTGGTAAAAAGAAAGTTTTAATTCTGGAAATGTAAGATCATGTTTATAGGCTTCAGACAGTGACATGGAAGCAGAGGGGAAGTCTATACTAGAGCAGCATGGCCATCAATGTCATGTTTGAAGCTGAAAATGTAAGAACCAACTATTTTTTGACCGCCAAGCATTCCTTCAGGTACCAAGAACACCTCAGTGAACTGCTTCTGAATAATGGTACAGTACACGAAAAAAAAAATAAGCATACTCCTGGGGGAATGATTATTGACTGTGCTCTTACTTTGTTTTGATTTTCACGGTTAGACAATTTGTTGTTTTAAATTGGGGAGGTGTATGTCATTAGGAGTTAAAATTTGAACCTCTTTTTTTTTTTAACATAACTTTCAGCTATTGCATCGCAGGAGAGTTGGAGTGCGGTAGTGGTGAGTCCTTGTTTTTTACTCTATAACTAGGGAAGGCGAGGTAAAGGCTGTGTGATCTTTTCAGATCATCAACAGCAAAGGAGTAGGTACTTAATGTTTCGACTGCTCCTCCTTCAGTGGTTTGGGATAATTCCACTGCAGTGTATTTGTTCACGTCAGATCACTTCAAAACCAAGCATGCTGAGGCATTTCCAAGAGCTGGCAACTGGAGGCAGTTCCAAGGCTGCATGGCAGCCCCCGCCTGTCTGTAGGCTCTGGAAATTAAGGGAGTGAGACATCAGTCAAAATCATTTCATCAAGGGATGGAATGAAAAGTGAGGATTAGATGGTTAGAATTAAATAATTGAAGGATCACTCAGGAGAAACAGGAATCTTAAGAATAAATCTCAATAAGCTTTAAAAGAATGTATGAGCTACTCCTTGTTTTGTATTAGAAATTGCAAGAAGTAAAATAAACAAGATACTGATATTCATAGGCAACTTGAGATATAGATTTTTTTCACATTTTTTTGTTCTTGTCAATAATAGTAGTTTATTGTTATTTCAGATGCTGCTTCTGCAAACTCAACATTCACAGGTAAAATCATCATGGTTTTTAATGTGTATTTCTGATTTCTTTTTGTAGATAATCCTTTATAGTTTCACAACAGTCTGTGCCAGTAAAAAGTATGCTGGTATATCTGTTACAAAAATTTCAAATTAGAATGAAGAGTTACTAGAAAATCTGTCAAAATATTATTTCACTATACTCCTGTGTATTCAGTTAGGAATATGATTAGAACATATATTAGGTAATGTATGCTTATTAGTTAAATATCATCATCAAAAGCTTGACATTTTTAGATAATAATGGAACAAGTGGAATAAAAATGAATTAAATGTGGTCTCCCATGAAGTAAATATTTTGAAATCATGATTACACTGGGAGGTAATTTGAAAATATAGAAATAAAAAGTTAATTTCTTTTAAAATTAATATCAATTAATTAATTTATTATTTATATTAATTAATATTAATTAATATGAGTTAGAAGTTAATTTCTTTTTCTTAACTCATAACATTTTAGTTATGTCCATTTGGGAGAATGTGGACAGAATGAAGTTTATTTATTTATTTATTTATTTATTTTGAAGATTTTATTTATTTGTCAGAGAGAGAGAGAGAGCAGGGGGAAGCAGCAGGCAGGGGGAGAAGCAGGCTCCCTGCTCCGCTCCGATGCAGGGCTCGATCCCCTCCATCCCAGGACACTGGGATCATGACCTGAGCCGAACGCAGACGCTTAACCGACTGAGCCACCCAGGCGCCCCAAAGTTTAACTTTAGTTTGGGGACTTGTAATTAACTGGCAATATAAGTATAATTAGAGTTGCTGTAGTACACTCATATATTCCTATCTTGTGTGATTCAAGGTGGGATTTTATTTCCTGTAGACCAATGTTCAGAGATGGTGTCAATTAAGAGATAGTAAATTGGAAGCCTTAGATTTTGATAATATATTTAAATTTGTGTTATTGTCTGTACAATGCTATTTAAATTTTAATTATTGATTGCTTACCTAAAGCTAAGGTATCACATGTCAGGGTTCTGAACCTTATTTCTTGACCCTTAAATAGACCTTGTAAAATTCCTATGAGATTTTGACTAAGTGGTAATAATAGGAAATAGTTATTTTTGCTGCACATATAATAAATATATAGTGTTATTTGTGTTGACTTAAATGAGAGATTATTTTGTCACTTAAGCTCTGAATACAATTTTAGAAATATTTACTCAGGTTATGGTAGGTGGTTTGTTAAACTAAATTTCCTAATAAAATTATCTAAGTAATTTATTTTCATAAATATTGTCTTCCCTACAGTTTCTTCTACAACAGTTACCTCCATATTAAGCACTGAAGCAGGTTAAATTTTTTTTTTTTTGCTTTTTAGCTTCTAAATTGGCAGCAAAGTGAATTTGCAATTCAGGCAATTTGGCCCTTTTTTCAAACTTGTTCTCTATTTCCTAAATGCCAAATAGCAGGGTCTACACCCAATTGTAATATTACTGAAGAACATCTTCCCTATTCAGAGGTTATGTATCCTAAAAAGAATACTCCACATACTACTAATTTGGAGAAAATGAAGAAAATTCTACTACTGAAGAAAATTATATGTTAAATTTTTTAAAAATAATTTATAATTTCTCTTTTACTAATATCAAGGAATATTAACTTTAATTGAATGATTTCTAATAAAGCAATAGCCAAAGGAGAACAAAAGTATATTCAAATGTGTGAATATTTCATAAATGAATTTAACTGTTATATTTAATCACTTAATTGCATTCTAGAGATATGTTAAATAAGTACTTTTAATTTTGTCTGTTAACACAATTTAACATACATTTCCAAATATTTGTCTCCTTCTTTGTATAGCAATTACATCAGTAACCAGTAGCTCGGGCGGAGGTAAGCCATAATCTTCAAACACAATCAAAAGGGCATTAAAAAAAAAGATCCAAAATTTCCTTTTGTAATATTATACCTTTATAATGACATTTTAAGGGGAATTTTGTTTTGTTTTGTTTTTAAGAATGATTTAGAGGAAGATTTTGGAAAAAAGTGCTATGCAAAATAATGTTATCTTGACCTTTTACTGGTAGTCTATGGATTTGAAAGCTTTAATTTTACATTTTAATATCTAGTCACCTATATGATCAAATTTCCTTAAAACCTTAATTTCAGGTTGATCCACTTTATATTTGAACATAGTTGTTCTCAGAAACATAACTTTCCCTCTATACAAAATTTTTTCCATTGTTTTTTTCTAATTCAGCAGCTTCCACTCCAGTGCTTACAAGATCAAGCAGTGAAACAATAGGTAGGTGAATCAGAAAGCTTATAAAATGACAAATACAGTTTTTACATATATTAAAATAGTTTTTTTAACTTAAAATATATTTTAGTCAACATACTCATTTATACTTAAGACTTTTTTCTTTCCCCAACTGAATACTACTTCTCTTTCTCCTATTATTTATCACTTTCTTTATTAAAAAAAATATATATATGTATCTAGGAGTGCCTGGGTGGCTCAGTCGGTTAAGCATCAGACTCTTGATTTCAGCTCAGGTCATGATCTCAAGGTTTCGATATTAAGCCCCATGTGGCTCATTGCACTCAGCGGGTAGTCTGCACATCCTTCACTCTCTCCCTCTGCCCCCTCCTCTTGTGTGGGCATGTGTACATGCTCTCTCTTCCCTAAAATAAATAAATTCAAAAAATCTTAAAAAATATGTATATATATTTAAATATATGTTTTTTATTGAGGTATAATTGACATATAACATTATACTAGTTGCAAGTGTACCTCATAGTGATTCGGTATTTGTATATGTTGCAAAATGATCACCACAGTCTAGTTAACATTCTTGAAGTCTCAGACCATGTTTTGCCATTACTGTATTCCCAATTGCACCTAGTTCCAAGTATATAATAGTATTTAGTAAATTTTTGTAGAAAAAATGGATGTATTTGTATTTCCCTGTCCCAAATTTATAATTCAGGTGCTTTTTTGGGTGGTGGGAGGCACAGTTTCTGGTGAAGCTTCGATTATTAGTTAGATTTATTTATATTGATAAATCTTATACTTTACACATTTTATTCACTGAAGCTAATATTCCTTCTCTGAAATATAAATATATAGTGCAAAATGAGGACGATTTTTAGATTGTAATTTTATGTCATGATACAGAATATGTCTATAATTTTGGATACTTTGGCAATTCTTTTTTTTTTTAAGATTTTATTTATTTATTAGAGATCAAGCGAGGGAGAAACAGCGTGAGAGGGGAGAGAGTCAGAGGGAGAAGCAGGCTCCCCACTGAGCTGGGAGCCCCATGTGGGACTCGATCCCAGGACCCTGGGATCATGACCTGAGCTGAAGGCAGTCGCTTAACCAACTGAGCCACCCAGCCGCCCTACTTTGGCAATTCTTAATGTTGTCTGATTTATTTGGTAATTAATACATCACTTATATTCAAAGGGCAAATATTTATTCTAAAAGTATCAGCCATCATAGTATGGAATATCATTAAAAATGCCCAAACTAACATGTTTAATTCTCAGCAAACTTTCCCTTATGTTGTAGCCATCAACAACGTTAAGCAGTACTGGCTTGTTCAGTGTAAACCTTAGACAGACTGACAGATTTTAGAAGCATTTTTCCCTATTCTACAATTGTAAATTTACTTGCCAAGGCCTGGTAACAATTTCATCCCAATAGTTCTTCTGCGTTGTTTCTTACACATTGCAGAATAGTTTTCCAGCTGCATATTATTTCAGCCGTAAGCAATGGACTGAATTTCTAATTCTCAGCCTGGTTCTGTTTCCAAGAAGATTAATTTCATTGTTTCATATCTCTTTTAGTTATAATCATTTGTTCAGCTATTAACACTTCTGAATCTTGTGACCATTTAAAGAAATAAAACTACTATTGAGTATTGATTTGCTAAATTGTGCAGTTATGCATGAGCCACAAGCAATTTTGATAACTATTTCAAGGTAAAGATGTCATCTGCATCCTCTATCACACTAGGCACTCAGAACTAGGAAAACTGGCATGATTTTTTCCAGTTAATACATGTATTTCCTTTCATTGCTTTTCTTTCCCCAAGAATTTAGTTTTGAACATAATATTTGGCAATTTTATTTTGCCAACACTTTGTGGTATAGCAAGCAAACCTTCTATGTAAAACAGAAGGTCACGAGTAGATTACCTAAGGAGTTTTTGCCAGCAACTAATGACATTTTAGATGTAAAATGTTTAATTAATTTTAAAACACTACAAAAATCTCATCAATTATCTCCACCATACTATTGAAAAAATCCTAAATCTAATGTAGAGTTGAATTATAAAGAAGATTACCCAGGTGATTCCGACCCCTCCCGGGTCATGAGGTATTATTCATGACTTTTTAATGCTTAGCCTTACTGAATCTTAGTGTTCTATTTAATTTCATCTGAAGTTCCAGTATAATACTAATAATTTAGTAAAATGCCATATTAGTACTATATTGCAAGATATAGCTAATAGCTTTTAAGGAGGGTTTACTGCATTTGAGTCATTATATATACTATTTTTCATTCAATATCGCATTAAATTTCAACAATCCCCTGATTACATAATATTATTCTCTGGAACCCCTCTCTTTCTTCATCATTTTACAGGGAAAGAAATGCAAAGAGCTTAAGTAATTTTTCCAGAGTCACAAAGATCAGAAGAAAAAGGAATTTTCTGGTGTGATGCACAGAGAAATCAGCATTGTTTTTCTTTTTCTTATTTTCCATGAAAGTCAGAAATTATTTTCAGAAATGATCATTTCAAAGATGTGAGTCATTAAGGCCAGCCCAACATTTTTCTCAGATCAGGAGACAAGAATAATTTTCTCATGTTACAGTTGTTCAACTGTGCCACAAATTGTGTGTTTTAAACAAATTTAGTTAAATAATCTGAATCCACAGAAAACATTGGTTATCAAGACATCAAATCAATGGTACCTTTCCAGCATTCATTAATAACGTACTTGTAGCTTATCTTGTTGCTGGTATAAACTTGTAAATGCTTATTTCCCAGATGAATGGAGGCATACAAAATTTTGGTTATTAATTAATTCTCAGTTTTAACTGTGAATGGTAATGGTAAAACTTGGTTTAATTCTTAGCTCCTCATTCACTATCGCACGTCTTCTTTTCTGAGACTATGCCTATATCATACATACCAGGAGGGGATTTAAAGTTACTCAAGGAATCATTGATTTAGTTTCCCAAGAAATCTGTGACTTGTAGGTTTGGATCATACCACTTGTTCATCGTTGATTCAGTTAACAGATTCTATTAAATTTTCTACTTCAGCTTGTGCTATGAACTCCTGGACTGAGTACAAAATACTCAGAATGAAATGTGACATTTCTGAATTGGAACAACCATGAGAGACCACATGCCCATTTGCTTCTGACTCAGGAATCATAACCATCTCTGTAAAGTGAGGATGGCAATAAGGAGAATCTTAGAAAGTACTAGTTGTATGTTTACTGGCTAGTTTATTGTGAAGTTCTAAAAGGGGGGAAAAAGACAAGTCTGGTGGTGGTGTTGTTTTCCATGTAGGAATAAAACATTTCATTTTAAGACGCACCAACATATTTTTCCTTTTTAAACTTTTTGTTTTTTTCTAATTTCATCTAACAAACATCATGCCATAGTAAAAATAAAGCCAGTTAAAGTGTTTGCCTTTTGGACACTTTTAAAAGAAATAAAGTCTTTTTGTGGAGCAATTGCCTTACACAAAGTGTAGACTGGAAAGGTACTTTCCATTTCTTTTTAGTGACATTCCTAGTTTCTAAGTTGAACAGCTTTTGACAAATTGTGATGAATCCATAGTTACATAATGATTTTTGTTTTTTAGCTTTCTAGGGGTGAACTATTTGATCAGTGATGAGAAAAACGGATGCCAAAATAAAATCATGTAGTCATGATCACTAGCAAAGTTTCTTGTTACATTCTAAATACAGCATGCATCAACTAAAATATTTAAATAGATACCTAAAAGCAAAAGCTGAACATTCCAGATACAATGTAGCTAGGAAGGCACATCATTTTGAATATGTGTTGCCTCTTAATGAACTCTCTGCAATAGGTGGAAGGATTTCTTTCTTAGACAGTGAAACCTTTTTCATGCAGAATTTTGGTGTATGGTGTCAGTGCTCTATATGTAATTTCATTTGGATAATATGTTAGTGCTTTTGAATTGACTCGATGTGATTAGTGGATTGCTTTAATTTGGTCAAAGCTTTTCTAATTATCTTTTTTGCTTTAAGATATCAGTTTGGCATAAAAATCTATAATTCCTTTTATCTTTATTTTGTGAAAGATTTATTTTCTAAAAAGAGACTGGGCAGGGGCTCCTGGGTGGCTCAAATGGTTAAGCGTCTACCTTCGGCTCAGGTCATGATCCCAGGGTCATGGGATTGAGCCCCACATTGGGCTCCTGGCTCAGCGGGGAGCCTGCTTCTTCTTCTGCCTCTCTCCCTGCTCATGCTTTCCCTCTCTGTTATCTCTGTGTCTCAAATGAATAAATAAAATCTTAAAAAAAAAGAGAGAGAGAGACTGGGCAGAGGGGCAGTTATTGGCCATTATGTTGTTCCCTGGGTGAAGTAATTTTGATCAAGTACTGGATCAAATATTTTCTGAATCAAGGACTTCTCACTGACCATTAGTGTTTGGTTTCATTTTTTTTCTTAACTGATAACATGAAAGAATTAAATAAATTATTTTAGAGTTTTTTTCCATAAATTTAAATTTCTTTCTCAGATGGATGGAAGGCATTCTTGCCAGATAGAGGGAGAAATGCCTCAGTCTTCAGGAGTGAACTGATGATTTATTTGACTTTACACTCAAGCCTCTTAGATGGAAGGTTAGATATGATTACACTGTTGCACATATCTTTGAGGTAAAGAGCACAGGAATGAAGTGCACTTTTAATGAATTTGAAAAACATTGCAGAAAACTTTAAAAGCACAAGGGAAGCAATATGCAAAGCTGAAGCTTTTCTCCATGGATTATATATCTGTTTTCTTTTCTATACAGTAAATGTTTTCAGGGGTTAAAGTACCCTGAGAAATGCCTAGCCAACCCTTCTAATAAGTATGTTAGTTTTAGGGAAAAAAGCTATGCAATTATGTGTTTTTTTCCTGTTTAAATTGACAGAACTTGACACAGAGCTATAATTTACAGAGCAGTATTCTACGTTATTGACACATATTATCTCATTTAATACAGAGAACTCCATGAAATTGGCACTATTATTTCCCCAAATAACAAATG